GAAGGGCCTGGGGGAGCCTGGGGACAGTGGCTGGACCGATCTTGCCTGGGGTCCACCTCTCTGTGGTCACGTGGGCGTGCACCAGCGTGCACCTGACTCTGGGGTATCATCTGGCCTCGGTGACCTGGTTGCAGCAGAGAGGCCATCCAAGCCCGAGGACCCTGAGACCCAGAGGATCACCCAGGAAGGATGGTGGGCATGTTGATGAGCACCCTGCAGTGGGCCTCAGTGCAAGGGAGGTACAAGTGCCAGAGGTAGGTGCAAAGGTATAGGGCCAGGGGACAGAAGGACAGGCTCTCCACAGCAAACCCTCAGAGGTAGGCACAGGTGAAGATAGAGCACAAGCATCTTTGTCTTCTTTGTTACCAACGCACAATGGTCCCTAATGGACCGCTCTTTCTCATTCTCCAAGATGTGACTCTTCTCTGCTCCCAGCAGCCTTTGCAGCAGAGGAAGACCACGACAGGGCAATCGGCTCTGGCCCTTCCTCTGCTCCCTCCCCCAGGCAAGGACAAGCGCCCACTCAGATTCCAGCCGCAAAAGCAGAAGGCAGGCCAGCTCCTCTTTAGGGGCCTTTGTCCCTGGTGGTTCCTCCTCAGTGTAATCTCATTGTACCTTTCTCGACAGCTGGCTGGATCTCATCTCATTTTAGCAGGGCTAGAAAATCTTATCAGCGGCACCAGAGAAGTCTTAGAAAAATTAGGAGATAGCTCTGTGGAAGACTGGAGTAACTGTAAAATGAAGTCTGTTTGAAAACGCTCAGTGAGTTACAAGTGATGGGTGACACCTCTCTTGTGAAATCACGTGGGGTATTTTGAGCTCTTGTGCCAGACTGGGAATACCGAAGTAGTCTCTGAATACTGGGCTTCTAAGAGCCGGGCACCAAGATCTGTCCAAAGTGGTGGTTGTGGCAGTTATTGGTTTGTTTGGACCTAGCCACTTCTTTTCACTCATCTGCTCCTTTTTCCTGGCATCCTTATTTGGAGTCAGCAGGCCACATTCCTGGTGTATAGTCAAGACACTCTCCTTGCGCTGCCGCCGCCATCCAGCTGGAGGACTGTCCCCACTTCTAGCTGGACAGTTGCACCATACTTCAGTGGAAGGGCTTTAGAACTTGACGTCAGTGTGAGGCCAGGCTTTCTTACTGTTGGGTAAATTAGCTTTGCTGAACCTCCATTACCTTGCCAGCCAAGTGATGGTACTAGTATCTGTCGCATAGGATCATCTGACTGCCATCCAGTCAATTCTGATTCCTAGAGACCCTATCAGTTAGGGCAGAACTGCCCCCTGTGGGTTTATGAGACTGCATTGTTATAGGAGTAGACAGCCTCATCTCTTTCCCAAGGGTCGGCTGCTGGATGTGAACCTCAGACCTTGTGGCTAGCAGCTCTGTGTGTAGCTGACGATGCCTCCAGGGTACCTTCCATAGGACTGTAGAGAGAAGTATATGAAAGATTGCAAGCTTAGCTCAGCGCCTGCCATGTGGATAGTGGTCAATAGAAGCTAGTGGTTATTATTAAGGGTTTTTGTTGACCAGTTAATCAGAGAAGTGGATTCAACTTATAAATTATTTTTCTGTTTATTTCTGTTATTATTGAGCTCTGTCAGAAGAACTAGGAAATGGCAGACTAGTCAAAAGAACAGTGGGCTTGGATTCAGGACTTGGGGTTCGAACCTCTTAGAAAATCTTGGACGAGTCGTGGAATTCGTGGAAGCTCTCGGGACACCCATTTGTAAAAGTGACTTACGAAATTAACACCATAACGTAGTCCGGAAGGCTGAACATGATGGTGTGTGTGGCTGTGTTCAGTACAATCAGGGGTGGAGGTCCTCCTGAAATGAGGGTTTTGTGGGTCCGCCACGCAATTTGGAGCGTGGCTTTTAGGCAAAAAGAACATCTTCTAAAATCATAAGACCTCATGAACCCGTGGACCAAGCCTCTCCCAGGGCCTTGGCTGGGGCACATGCAAGAGAGGGCCCTGAAGCTTAAGCTCTGTTCAATGGCTTTGCAGCATCTCTGAATCCATGCGGTGGAGACCCCTCTGCGTTAGCAGGCTGTGAGGGCTGAGGGCTTCCTGCTCAAAGAGCGATGATGTTTTCACCACCCTGGAAAGTAACGCCAATGTTGGAGTACAGCATGAGAAGCGCCAAAGGTGTTATGATGATGATGAAGATAACAAGTGACTACATGGCTGGATGTGGTCGGGCCCAGAACACTGTATTTAGTTGACTGCGGTTGAGTGAGCAGATTCTCCTTTGCTAGCTGGAGTGTGGAAGAGGAGGCTTGGGTTCCCTGAATGGGCTGCCTTTCCCTAGCCTGGTCCCGTTCTCTGGGAGGCCCTCCTTGGCCAACGTTTCCCTGGCCCTGTGGGCTTGCCTTGGCCGTCTGCTCGCCGGGCTGCCCTTGGGGATTGTGGTTTGCCTGCACTGTCTGTACGGTTTTGCAATGGGTTTGTCTACAACAGATCTCTCTCCAGCTGCCTGGGAGGCTGGGAGCCACTGCGGGGTGTGCTGAACATTCTATCCCTTGTTGGAGACATCCTGTGGGCATGTGTTCGGTTTACTCAACACGCTTCTGGCGAGATGCAGAGCTTGTCCAGGCTGAAATGTGAGAGGCCTGTGGGCCTGGAGCCCAGGGGTCACACACAGGAGCTTTGTCGCTCCTGCTTTGCTGAGGCCTGGAGGCCCTTTTGCGGGGGTGGGGTGGGGGGGCTTGTGGCTAGCAGCAGCACCAGTCCTCTCTCACCTGCCCGCATGCTCACTCTCTCCATATCTAGAAGGGGCTTCACAAAGTCTGTGGACAACTGGAATGAAAAGGTAATGGAAGTTTCCCACAGACTTTTGAAGCCCTTTTCATATATGTGGGCACACATAGCATGAACACATATGTTTGTGTGTGTGTGTGTGTGTGTGTGTGTGTGTATCATCTTATATTTTTGTCAGATACTGTTCAGCAGAGCAGAATGTTCAAAAGATGACCCTCTGATCCTTTAGAAAACAGGGATCAATGGTGAAATGTGCTTGGGGTGTCTATGAAATTACAGATTCCAGGGCCCCACAGCCACACCTTCCTGAGAGGAACCTCTGGGGATGGGGTGGCGGGCTTTTCCTATTCCATACGCCGCACCTTGGGTTTGTACTTACATTTGCTGAAACAAGAGCTACCCTTCCCTCAAGCCCAACCAAACTTGCTGCTGCCAAGTCGATGCGCATGCAGGAGTGACCTTGATAGGCCAGAACTACCCCTGTGGGTTTCTGAGACTAATTCTTTTTTTTTTGTCTTAAAAGATCATTTTATTGGGACTCTTATAGCTCTTATAACAGTCCAACATCAATTGTATCAAGCATATTTGTACATATGTTGCCATCATTATTTTCTAAACATCTACTTTCTATTGAGCTCTTGGGATTAGCTCCTCTGCCCCCCAACCCTTGTGACTTCTTGATAAATTATAAATTATTATTTTCATATCTTACACTGACCGCTGTCTGCCTTCCCCCATGGTTTCTGTTGTTCGTCCCTCTGGGGCAGGGTCTGTGGTTATGTGTCGAGCATTGTGATCTGAGACTAAGTCTTTACACGAGTTGAGAGCCCCGTCTCTCTCCCGGGGAGCGGCTGGTGTTTGCAAACTGCTGATCTTGCAGTTTGCAGCCCAACTCAAAACACCAACTGCCAGGGCTCCTTTTAGATGCTTTATATCTATGAGAACTCCGTAGAGGAAATTTTGTGATCCATCATTTCAATTCTAGAGCGATAGGAACGTAAGGCCCAACTTAGTTAACTTGCTTTGGAGGGTCAGGCAGCTGTAAACTTGAATCCCAGTTCAAACTTGAATCCCAGGGACATCAAGGCTGGTGTTCTTTTCATTCCTTTACTGTTTGCTCAGTCCTCCCACTGAGCTAACACCACGTGGAGGCCCCCGGGTGTGGGGGGCTGAAGGAAGAGGGGTGGCTTGAGGAGGTGAAATAGGATGAAAGAAAACCTGCATGGGAATTGCTTTCTTCCAACGTCTGGGGTTCTTTCTCCTTCTGTAGATAGACGTCATCGCTTCCTAAAACCCCAAACCCACTGCCACCAAGGCCGCTCTGACTCAGAGCGGGCTTCCTGGACTGTCAGTCTTTGTGGGAGCCGAGAGCCTCATCTTTCCCCCTTGGAGCGATTTGTGGGCCTTGAGCAGCTGACCTTGCCGTCAGCAACCAAAGGTTGTACACGACACCACCAGAGCCCCTTACGTCATTGTGTAGACCTCAGCAATGGAGAACTGCCGGTGAGCGTTTGTTTCGTTGTGTTCTGCTGGTTTGCTTGCCTAAACCTTTCCAGCCCAGGCGCTACTCGCCATTCCCAAGCAACCCATGGGTTCTCACACCACTGTGCTGTGTCTCCAAGTACCTCCCTGCTCCTCTCTCAGACAATGAGGCCAGCGTGAGTGTCATCTCTCCCTCTTCCATCTCCCTGACTCCCCAGACAGGAGAGATTGTCCCCTCGCCAACAGTCCCATTCTTACAGGGTACTTCTCCAGCCCGTGAACTCCTCAGGTGGAAAGCTGGGCCCTGTTTGTCGCTGCATCACCCAACACAGTGGTTCCTGACCTGGGCTGCGCATTATCCAGTCCCAGCCCCAACACAGATGGGTGGACGCAGAACCTGGCGAGCTGGGAATTGGGGGCAGTTGTCATTTTAAGGGGGGCAGCTGTCATTTCAAAACCTCCCCAGGGGATCTCCAGAGGCCCACCGCTTACACCAGGCACTCAGCCAGCCCCAGTTGAACACAATCAAGCCCACGCCTGAAACTGGGAAGTGTGTACTCCTGCCTCTGTTCTGCTTGCTGCAGTTGGCTCACTCCTGGGGTTGTGGTGTTTATCCTAAGTGGGCCTCTTGCTGGAAGGGGCCTGGCTGGTCTGGTCTCACTTGTGCACCTTCTGCTTCATGTCCCTTTCCTAATCCAATAGTGCACATTGGGTTTTAAAGGCGGATAAGAATTTGATTTATTTACCCATTCATCTGCCCACCCACTCATCCATCCATCCATCCATCCATATCATCAATTTATTCAGTACCACTGTGAGCTACACACTATAGTGGGCATAAAACCTATGAAGAACTTACATAGATCCTGCTAGGGAAAGTGTGTGACCACTTTTCTGAGAGGCAAGACTGTGTGCGTGTGTTAGCATGCAGTGATTATTGTTAGGTGCCGTGTTAGTCCGGGTAGACTAGAGAAACAAATCCAGGGAGACTCATATGTGTATAAGAA